ACAACAAATAAATGGAATTATACAGTATAGTAGGAAAATTATTTTTTTTCATTTACCTAACTGGTGTAAGTGAACTAAAGTGGACCAAATCATTTGCCCTCTCATCCCATTTTGTCCTGTTAGCTGGCTTGGATGGCTAATTAACTGTAATCAAAGATGAGTATTATTAGACAGTTGTAAGCTGTTCAAGTTTAATGTAATTAATATGAGATCATGAACCCTGGAGTGTTGTGAAGACTAAATGATAAAAAGAAAAAAGATATGACTAAAGAAATGTTCCATATGTGTTTGACTCATGTCTGAATCATACCATCTCATACTATACAAATGAACCGGCTTGAATCATTGCTATTATCATTAATTACCGTGGCTTGCAAATATATGGATTTCTTTTTTTTTTTAATATATGGATTTCTAATTGTGTGCTCCAGTAATGATAAAATATGTGTATGTGGCCCTTGGTTGATGCTATGATGTCATGATTCTTTGACCAAATCTCCAAAATGCTCATTTAATTTCAAAAGGGGGGAATCTGAGTTAATACAATACTTAACTAATTTTCTCCAGCAATTTAGGGGCAAAACTAGAATTGGAATTTAGCTAATCTTAGCCCAAGGATATTTCTGGATGACGGTCTTTGATTAAAGGTATTTGAAAAAGTTAACTAAACCCTTCTCTCTCCTATTACTATAAGGAAACTATGGTTACAGGGTCTGGGTCATGGCAATGAAAAAGAAACAGACCTATACAAAGTCTGTGAGAAAGAAACAGACCTAACAAAGTGAACTGTGAGAGCCTTTTGAGAGAGTGACTCAGTTAACTCTTTATTCTTACTGTCACAACAATTAAAGTCTTTAGAGATCTAATTACTATAGACTTAAGACATGTGACCCTTCTATTAGAATTGAGGTGACATGGCCCAAGTCTTGTGGGGACTGGCAATAGTAGGATACTTTTGATGTCTATCCTACTCCACAGGAGAAAGAATAAAAGGCTTCCTATACTGTCAAGACCCTCTCCAACCTGAGTCCCATCTCTAACAAGTTAAACATTCACTGTCTGCAGTCCTGGAGAAGAGATGCTATCTGTACCTACTCAGCTTTGAACTAAAGATGTGATGAAATGGCTTATCCACATGCAGTATCCTCTTGAGAAAAGGAGGAAAGAAAGCGGCAACTGCTGTATACAAATATCCACAGTTGCAGTTGCAGAGGTTAGATAAACTGAAAAAGTAATATGGAGTTATACCAAATGGAGAGAAAAGTGTTCATCGAGGTCAAAGGAACTTGACTTAAAGACCTGGAATTTGGCCTACAGATTCTACTATAGTATAGATGAAAATCTATTCTTCAATGATGGGTGGTTAGCCCTAGGAAAAACAAAGGAATGTTTCTAGAAGCCACTCAGTCAGCTCTAAAAATCTTTGCTCTGAACTGATTGTAAGAAACTCATCCTGCTTCCTGTGTTTATTATGTTAGAAGATTACACTTAGGATTTAGGATCTGCCTCTTGGGGATCTTTGTGTTGCTAATTAGAAAAAGTCCTACCTTCAGAGTGATAAGAAAAACTCTTCGGTCTAGATTTCTTTCCCTCATGTCCCCCTGCTACCATCACCAGAGTGTAGAGGGACAGAGTGTGAGCAGGTGGCATATAGGCTAATAGTGAGAGGAAACCACCAGATGCCCCATCCCTTGACTCAACTCTGATCCACATCAACTCAGTTAAGCTCAGGGTTTGACTCGTCCTACTGGTCAACCTCTCCTAATTTCTCTCTGAAAATCCCTGATTTAACCTAAAATGAGAAGGAGGAGGAAGGACTGATACTTTGAGTTTTCTTATATGCTCAGTAACAGGGTAAGGACGAGAGGTGAATGAAGTGAAAGTTGCTCAGTCGAGTCCAACTCTTTGCAACCCCATGGACTGTAGCTTGCCAGGCTCCTCTGTCCATGGGATTCTCTAGGCAAGAATATTGGAGTGGGTGGCTGTTCCCTTCTCCAGGGGATCTTCCTGACCCACGGATCAAACCTGGGTCTCCTACATTGCAGGCAGATTCTTTACCGTCTGAGCTACCAAGGAACCCAAATTATTTGGAAGCTTCAAGATTCAAGGATACACCAAAAATGAGAGCGCTGTGAGCAAGGAGATCAAACCAGTCAGAGGTGAATAAAGGTAAATAAAGACAACTAAGACAGGACCTGACAGGGCCAGGGTTAGGAAGAGGTGTGAGGCAGGGTCATACAAGTGCAAAATTGGATCCTGCCTCTGTTTAAAGTTGTGATTTTTTTGTGTGTGGATATTATTTACCTTAATCAATGACTGTTTTGGTGCCTTCTTAAATTTTGTACTCAGGGGACATAGCCTGACTATTTCATCTTAGTCCCAGCCTTGCTCAGGAAAATGAGACTCAGAGAGGCAAGTAATTTGCCCAGGGCGTACCCAACTAGAAAGTAACAGAGATAGGATTTGAAGCCAAGCCTGTTTGAATCCAAACCCATGCTTTTTTTTTTAAAACTAAACCATGGATCTTAAAATAGTACTCATAAAGGATTATCTTGTGCCACTCATGATAATTCAGTTCAGTTCAGTTCAGTCGCTCAGCCGTGTCCGACTCTTTGCGACCCCATGAATTGCAGCACGCCAGGCATCCCTGTCCATCACCAACTCCCAAAGTTTATTCAAACTCATGTCCATTGAGTCGGTGATGCCATGATAATTAGTCCACAAAATAAAGGTGCATTCACTAGAGAAATGACTTAACATTTGTTCCAAATTAGAGTGTGTGAACATTATTCTAAGCACCAGATGCTCCCGACAGGTCAAGTTGGCTTTCTGCCTGATTCTTATATTTGTCTTGCATCTGGTGCTTTTGACTATTCTCTTAAAATTCTTGGCTCTTATGACCCCATCTCTCCTGGGTTGCCTCCTACTTTTCTAACCACACTTGCCTCTGTCTGTGTTGTGGATTCTCTTCTTCCTCCCCTTGTTAAAATGTCTGTCACAGAAATTTTCCCATTGTATACATTCTACCTGGGAATACTGATGACTATTAATTCTGTATCTTTACCCCACACCTCTATTACTACAGCTCCACTTAGAGATGTCTTAGAGATACTTCAACTAAAAAACTCCAAACTGAGTTCCTCATTCCTTCTTGCCTCTTCCCCCTCTTCTTCCATATGCAGTCTTGACTTCTCCCTTTCCCTCTGTGGCCACATTTGATAAAACATCAATTCCTGTTGACTTTGCATTCAAAGTATCCTTGACTCCTTCCCTTCCCTCTATCCTTATTGTCATTACTCTAGTCCAGGTCTCTCACCTGATCTCCTTACTTCCAGGCATACCTCTCCCAATCCATCCTCGATGCTACTTCCAGAGGGATCTTCCTTAAAAGCAAATTATGTTGTTCTCTTGGCTTATTGGATAAAGTCCAGCTCCACAAATATCTGTCGTCTCTGTCTCATGTCTCCCCCTTATCTCTCCCTCCCCCAACCTATGCTGAGCTGGGGCAGTGTTTGAAATACACCAGTCTATTATGTCCTTCAGGGCCTTTACTCATCCAGCTTCCTCTGTCTGCACTGCCCTTCCCTTATTGATCCCGCAAACACCTGCTTTTCTTTAAGATTCCATTCTAGCTTTTCTCAGTCCCCATCTAGGGAAATTTGACCACTCCAGTGCATCTCCACTGTACCTACTACCATAATGCTACATTGTGTTTATGTACTTCCATAAATTTTCTTCCTGTAAATGCAAACTTTAGGAAGGCAAGGCTTTTGAATGATTGATATCTGTATCCAGAGTACCAAGTACAATGCTTAGCACAAGGAGGCACTTAATAAATATTGAATGAATTAATGGATACTTCATGAAAACAAAGTAGTGGGCAAAGCCAGGAAAAAACAGATTTGATAAAATCTCATCAATTTACTACAAGATGAGGATTGGGTCCATCTGAATAGTGAAAAATATTATTACCTATTACTCTAAGGTCAGTAAAATTCTATTACTTTGTAGTATAACCAGTGCCTCCCTTCTTTGTTCCATGATATCTGCCTTTGGGCTACAATTAGACCTTATACAGTACTCTATTATATACCACTAACCATGCTGCTTCCATAATGTTTTTATGCATATTTCCCCCCACTAGAACGACAGCTTTTTGACCCTGTCATATTCATCTCTATATCTCCATCAGATAATCTATAATAGGTATTCAATAAGTGTTTATTGAATTAAAATTAATCAGTGTCTTGTAAAACCCCAGGGATTTATGTCGATGACCATAAGAATGATTTTCGGCTTACTGTATCTTAAAGATAAATAAGGGCCTAATATTTGCATACATTTAAATTTTTCAATTTGCTTAGCACACTTTTAAAAAATTTTTTACAGATTCTACAAATGTAAGCTCCAACTCAGATATTTTTTGAATTATCAAAAATTCCAAATTAAGGAAGTCCAAATTAGTGAGGCTTTATTGTCTTGTTTCATTTTTGTTTTTGCTCATATGCATCTGCATTTGGACAAAGTAGGCACTGGAAAATGTAGATATGGTTTATCTGTACCAGTTTTTATGGGCCCAATGAATTTTCTTTTGAATTCTTAATGTTGTTTATGATTTATAATCAGAAAAAATTTTTTTTCAAGGGTGCTTCCACTGCAAGAGGCCTGGGTTTGAGCCCTGGTCTGGAACTAAGATCCCAAATCCCCAGTGCTGGTACTTGGTATGGCAGAAAAAAAAAATGTTTTTAAACTATAAAGTCAAATTCTCTTACTTTTGATGGTGTTACTAAGGATTAAATCACAAGGATCTCAGCTGATTGCTTGCTTTTTTCCCTTTATTACAAGATTTCTATTTAGGTGACATGATAAACAAAGAACAGGACACCCTTGACTGGTGTGGAAAGGGAATGGTGGGGAAGAAGGACCATGCTTGTGTGCTCTTCATTCTAATGGTAAAATAATGGTTAACGCATCAATTTCTTTATGGTATTCCACTCTAGAAACGTGCTTACAAGAGCTATGTGCGAGCCCTCCCTCTGCTGAAGAAAATGGGGATCAATTCCATTCTCCTCCGCAAAAGCATTGGTGCTCTTGAGGTGGCCTGTGGCATTGTCATGACTCTCGTGCCTGGGCGTCCCAAAGATGTAGCCAACTTTTTCCTCCTCTTGCTGGTGTTGGCGGTCCTCTTCTTCCACCAGCTAGTCGGTGATCCTCTCAAACGCTACGCCCATGCCCTGGTGTTTGGAATCCTGCTCACCTGCCGCCTGCTGATTGCCCGCAAGCCCGAAGACCGGTCTTCTGAGAAGAAATCCTCGCCGCCAGAGAATGCGGGGAGTGACAGCAATGTGGGGAATACCGAGGAGCAGCCGTCCTTATATGAGAAGGCCCCTCAGGGCAAAATGAAATTGTCGTAGGAGAGCAGAGGTGCAAAAAATGGACCTTTCAGGCAGTTGCCTCCATGACACCCAGGAAGATGTCAGTGTGTGTTTTTCATTTGATTTATTTATCTTGGGGGAAAAGGGACACATATAACCTGCAAGTTGATGGTCCTATTGGCTTGTCTACACCTATACCCTAAAATGACCTCCCCACATAGACGTGTGTGCACCACCTTTAATCACTCTGGGGCAACTCTCACATCTTGCTGCATGTACATGTATATGGCTAACTATTGAAGTGTTTTTGTGAGATGGATTCCAGCAAGCATGTGACTGTGAGATTGTGTGGGTAAACGTTACTTTGTGTGTGTGTGTGTGTGTGTGTGTGTGTGTGTGTTCACTCGCATGTGCGAAGGAGAAGGCTCTGATCTTGAACTAATCCTGCATAGGTATCCTTTCCTTTATAGACTGATTCTAGTGAAGGCAGAATAAAATAAATCTCCTATAAAGAGCATCCCACTTACTTCTTGGTATAAAACAAACTATGTATTCCCATGGGATAGGGGGATCCCTCACTAGATTAAGCTGAAAACTTAAACCTCCCACTTTAGGAAAAAGTTCCTTCAATTTGAGACACTGAATTACATGTAAAATGAATTAACCTCTACTTTAAAAGTTGTTTAAATTGTAAATACTCCATATTGAGTTTAATTAAAATAAGGGAAATATGCAGTCAGTAGATAGTCTAATTCTTCAAGTGATAAAATTGGAAGTTTCACCTTGCCTTTGCCAGAGCCCAGCCTACTAAGCTCCTTTACTCACAGTTGGAAACTGAAACAATAAACTTGTTATCAGACATCTGTTTTGGATTTTCTTAAGCCAAAAGCTGCCTCACTTCCACTATTCTCAGCAGCTAACCAGGATTTGGCAGCTGCTCCACTGTTGCAGTTGAGGGAGCAAAGATTAGTCCTGTTAGAAGTCTGTCAATCTCCAACTCTAGCTGTTCTCTTCAATCATCTGAAATTTGACAGAGGAGCTGTATCCAATCTTTCCTGCCAAACAGATTCACTATTCTTTCTGAATTTTCACTGAACTTTGCTAGTGTAAGCAGAGATCCAAGTTACCCCCATGGTAACTACACCTCTTTCAGTGGGTGGAGTTTAGCTGGGGGAAGGACATTTGATATGGGTTAGTCAGATTGAGCAGTATGAAAATTTGCTTTCTTCATTATATACTGCTGCTTCTCCTTGTTAGATGTGCTCTGATGGTTTAAATATCATTGTGCCAGGGATGGGGAAAGGGGTGGGGGTGTTGTGTGTGGGGAGTACGAATTAATGTATTTTCTTCAGTGTCATTGTTCTTGTTAATTGATACCTCTCTGTCTTATTTCTCTCATTCTTTCAAAATAAACATTTTTGAAGTTTGGAGGAAATAGTCTGGACAAATAATGAAAGTCTGGAAAGAAAGGGTCATATCATGGGATTCAGGCTGTTTTATTTTTGAGTGGATGTGGAAGGAAAATAAAGACAAGGGGGAGTACAATAATATACTAGTGAGATTACAAACTTTTTTTAAAATTTTTTTTAATTTATTTTTTTCCATTTATTTTTATTAGTTGGAGGCTAATTACAACATTGCAGTGGTTTTTGTCATACATTGAAATGAATTAGCCATGGATTTACATGTATTCCCCATCCCGGTCTCCCCTCCCACCTCCCTCTCCACCCGATCCCTCTGGGTCTTCCCAGTGCACCAGGCCCAAGCACTTGTCTCATTTAAGTTCACTCACAATTTTGTGATGTCAGCACATGAAACAGAAAGCCACAAAATTAAGATCTCAATACAATTCACAGGTTTGGTGATGCCAAGGGAAGGTTGAAGAATGATTTCACCAAAAAAATTGCAGATGAATAAATAAAGATGAGCCAGTGTGTCTCACTATATATGTACCCACAAACTGGCACAAATTCCAGTGCCACAGACTTGTCACATTAGGCAAATTATTTTACCACTCAGGGCCCCAATTTCATTTACAAAAGCAAAGTGATTGAAGGCTTAAAATTCTTTCCAATCTACACGAGTCTATGAAATGATTAAAACTATGAAAATGTGTCTCAAGAATTTTTCAGTTTTACTAGATAAGGAAGAGCATCTGCCATAGAAAATACTGAATAGTCAGTTCTCCTGCCTGATTAAACATGAGTTCTTGAAAGTACTTTGAAAACCATGTTAAGATGTGGCAAATAACCATTTTTTGCTGTAGTCTTTCCCAAATACATCAGCATAATCTGATTCTTCATCTCTCCCTAAGATTGCAGAGTGTCCTCCCACAGTTTTGCCTACAGTTTATAGATTATGTTTTGGCCTCAAAAAAACCTGTGAGAGTCACTAAATTTTTATCTTTTCTCGCCACTCCCCACTCTAGTAAGATTAAACTAGGGACTAATCTCAGGTCTCAGACTAAGCCCTTGTTGCTGTTTTAGCCAGTGTCTGTAAAGTCCATCGATTCCTCAAAGTTAGGAATCTTTGCATTTTGATTGGCCACCTACATACAAGACACAGTTTCCAGCAAACCCTCGAAGGTATGTGTGCCAATTCTCGGTAAAAAGAAGGCAAATTCAGCTGTCCTTTCCTCTCACCTCCTAGAGACAGCTTCAGAGGTCTCAGGCCTTAATTCTCTTGACCAGCATGGGAGAACAGCCTTTATTGAGAAGTTTGCAGTTTCATATTTTCCTACAAAGTCCCGACATTTGGGATCAGCCTGAGCAAAAGGATCACTATAATTGGTCTTGTTAAATTCAAGAACCGAGACACTAATCGTTTTGTTTTACGCACAATGACAAATGCGAACATTATTAGAATGAGGGGAACGTTAGCCAATCCGCTGATTTCAGCAGCAACGGCCGACTTGCTGCACTTCCCCGGGCCCGGACGGGTGGGGCGCGCGGCTCTGAGGAATTGAGTTTGCGTCAGCGTCAGCGCGCGCACCACCTCGCGCCAGTGAGCTGTGGCTCAACCAATCAAGCTTCAGCAGAGCACGTGGCTCCGCCCTGCCGCCGCCCGCGTCCCCGCGGAAGCGCATGCGCGGGGTGGAGCCCGTTTATTTGAATCCGAGAGGTGGTGTTTGGAACCGGGAGGAGTTGGGATCGCGGAGTGTATGAGGTGAGATATTTTTAAACACACGGCAAAATGGGAGCCCAGGTACCGAAGAGAATCAATCTCCTGACTTCTGAGCAAGGCAGTCCTCCAAGGTGTCGGGTTTCCCCCAGACCAGGAATCTGCCTAGTGGGTCCGTGGTCGGGGCCAGGTTTGCTCCCTGTTGAGGCAGGCTGTGAGAGGGGAGTTCTTGGGGAGCGATGGGACAGTTCCACCAGAAGGGTCCCAAAGCTGGTCGCCCGCCCTTCTTACGTAGGACCCGAGGAAACAGCTGACAACCTGGAACCTCCTGATGGTCTAGACGTACATATTGCTTTCCTTCCTGCTCTGGCCTCATCTGTTCTAGGGAGATGGGGTTGAGTGTCATTACGACCATTCCTTTAGTTTTTCCCATTTGCAGCCCCAAACTTATAAGTCATTCTGGCTTTCTCTCTTTTTCCCTACATCCAGTTCTTTTGTTATGGCCTTGATCAATCTCCTTCCAAAACATTTCACGAATACAATCATCTTCTGTCTCTCTTACTATTTACACTTTAGGCCAGGTTCAGACCACAGTCACATCCCTTTGCCCTTTGCTAAACTTTTTTTTTTCCCACTCCTGGGCCCCTGACATTCTATTCTCTGCGCTGCAGCTAAAATGATCTTAAAACATAAATCATATGGTATCACTTCCTCTATGACACTCTTCCCTTCCCCTTATAGTTAGTTGCCTATGACACTTAAAATCCAGACTCCTTGTTTTGGTTGACAAACCCCAATATAGCAGTCCCTGTCTGTTTTTCTGACTTTGTCTCCCACTACTCTGTACCTCTTTCATGCCACTACTCATCCTCACCTCTTACTGGTAGTGTTGCTGTTTCTTTAACACACAAAGACTTTGCTTCAAGATCTTAGTATGTCTTGCTCTTTCCTCTCCGTGAAATACTCTTTGACCAGATCTTAACATAGTTGGTTCCTCCTGGCATTTGAATTTAGCTTAAAGGTTACATCAGAGAGGCTTTCTCTGAACACTTGTTCCGCAGTAGCTTGTCACTGTCACCTCACCCCCCTTTTTTATCACACCACGGTATATTATGTTCGCTATTAGTTATTTACTTATTTATTGACTCTCATATGCTTCCCCATCCCACCCCTGTAAGTTTCACTATAGCAGAGGCCTTGACTTTTATTATTTATCCCTGATAAGTAGAACTGTGCTTGGCATATAGATGATGCTTAGTAATTATTTACTGATAAGTGAATTAGCGAGCCATGTTTCTGTTCTGAGAATCCTTAGTTTGGCAACCAGTTTGTCTTAAACTTAGCACTGACAAGGCAGGCAGCATTAAAGATTAAAAGCAAAATCAAGGCAAAGTGGAGAGAAATAGGAGTGGAGAAAGTGACATTGAGTTCATGAGATGAATTAGTATTAGACTTACTCATGTGATATAGCCATTTTAGGAGAATTTGTTATGTTCCCTGTACTATTACCATCTTTTTTCCACCCTCCCACAGGGCCAGTTCAGCTGGTGAATGTTACCTTGGAGAGCTGTTTCTCTCTGTTCCTCTTTAGGTCAAAAGGCTTTTTGAGAAAGTTAACCTATATATTTTGTTGCCTGGATTGCTGTCATTTTTTATTGGGTACTTGTATGCTAGGTGCTCTGTACTAAATGTGGGGAGTACAGATAGGTGTGGTCCCTGTCTGGAGTAAAAAGGGAGGGACTGTTTGGCTGGTTAGTGACACCCTGATACTTGTTTCTATATAGAACATGTGCAGTAATGTCATCTCAAAAGAAAGTTAACTCTTGGGCACGAAGGAGGACTTCACAGGGTAGTAGTAGCTATCAGACTAGACTCTCAGCCTGGAGAGTAAAAGAGGACCTAAGTGACTCAAAGAGCATCTCAAAACGTGGACAGAACAATACTGTGGAAGATTATGAAGGTGCTGATGATCAAGCAGAAGACGCTCTACAGATAGCATTGAGATATTTTGAGAAAGGTAAGAGATTGTTTTCCTTGTGTAAGGCCTGTTCCTGTGAAAAAATTCTAGACTCTTTTGGTAAGGATTTTTAAAGGAAAGCATATTTTTTGCTCATTCATGATTTTTGTTTATTTAATGGACATTTATTGAGCACTTAACTACATACCAGTATGCTAGGTACTAGGGATACAACAACAAAGAATGTTCCCAGCAGAGTGGTTTTCAAATTGTTGCACATTGGGATTAAATTACCTCAGAATCTTTTTCTTTTAATATTGATTTATTTGACCACATCATGGATGCAGTTTTGTCATGGGAGGTGCTCGGGATCTTTGTTGTGTCATGTGGGGTCTTTCGTTTCACAGACTCTGTAGTTGTGGCATGAGGTCTCAGTAGTTCTGCAGCATGTGGGATCTTAGCTTCCTGACTGAAAGTCGAACCCGAGACCCCTGCATTGCATAGCGGATTCTTAACCACTGGACCACCGGGGAAGTCCCCTACCCGAGAATCTTTAGAAACCACTGGTACCTGGCATCCACTCTTAGATTTTCTGATTTTATTAGTATGGGACACAACTTGGGCATTGGAATTTTTCAACAGCTCTCTAAGTGGTTCAGATGTGCAAGAAAGCTTGTGAACCACTGTCTTAGTTACTGAAAACAGCTTAGTTTTAAGTTCAGTGCTTTTAGTTAGTTTAGAGCAAAGAAACCGGGGCAGGACTCAGTTTTCCTGCTGTCAAATATTCTAGAGTTTTAAGGGCTTTGAAGGGTTTTTAGGAAGACATTTTTTTTTTTTTACATAAAGCTGTTCCTTTGAAGTAGTCTAATTGTAACTGTTGAGGCTGAGGAGTGAGAGAGTTTTAAAGTCCTCACTGTTTACAATTGTTCCTCTTTCAGGTCCCATTAAAACTTCACAGAGTAAAGAGAAACACTTGAAAACTGTGGAAAATGTGGCATGGAAGAATGGGTTAGCTCCAGAAGGAATCGACATTCTATTAAGTGTGGCACTCAGTGGCAAATTTGGTATGTCACAGGGATAAATTTTTCAGCATTAGTTTTGCCTTTCAGAATTTGAATTACATTGTTGATTGGAATCAGATGCAGTTAAAGAACTGTTTATTTTTCCTATTCTCTTCATAAAACTAATCTAAGATTATACAAATGGACCTTTCTTATGTCCAGACTTTGTGGCTCAGCTGGTAAAGAATCTGCCTGCAGTGCAGGAGACCTGGGTTTGATTCCTGGGTTGGGAAGATCCCCTGGAGGAGGGAAAGGCTACCCACTCCAGTATTCTGGCCTGGAGAATTCCATGGACTATATAGTCCATGGGGTCACAAAGAGTTGGACACCACTGAGTGACTTTCACTTTCACTCACTATGTTGAAACTACCTTAACGAAAGGTTTCTATGTGCATATGCTGAAAATGGCTAGTTATTACATTTTTATTTTTAGAATGGATTCTCGTTACCAAATGCATGGAAGCAATTTTTAGTATTTCTCGTAGGAAGGGTAGATAATAGTTTAAGTAGTGTTGCTGGAAGGCACATTAAGAGATCACTGGTGTACTTTATTGCCTTTAGGTTCACTTATCAGTGACAGCAGGTTGATGTTGATATTGTCTCAATTCCAGTGTCTGTGGCTTTAACAGTTAAGATGTTTTTTCTTTTGAGCAAATGCTTCCTTTTCTGTTCTAAGTTCATTTGTATGGGGGTGGAGGTGGGGAATCTTAGAAAGAAATGGTATCTGTCCATTATTCTTTTCACTTGAGAACCTTTTAACCTACCCTCATCCAAATTTAGACGTAGAGAGTATTTTAGCCCTTGAACATTCTCATTTTAAATGTGAGGGAACTAAAGCCCAGAGTGGTTAAAGAGACTTGTTTAATCTCAGAGCTAGAACTGGGGAACTCTGGTCTCCTTACTCCCCTTCTAGTGTTTATAGTGCACCACACTGCTACCAGATTTTCTACTTTTTTTCTTTAAGACAACTGTCAAAAATGGATACTTATACCATTTTGCATATTGGGTTCCTTTGTGCATACCCTATCATGTTTGCAAGGGTGTGTGTTAGTCCCTCAGTTGTGTCCGACTCTTTGCGACCCCATGGACTATAGCCCACCAGGCTCCTTTGTCCATGGGATTCTCCAGGCAAGAATACTGGAGTGGGTTGCCATTTGCAAGGGTATGTGTGTATTTTAAAGAAACAATGCATGACTAGCTGAATTCAGTATATGACTTCCAGGTATTTTAGTTCTCTATTTTCACCTGATTAGTGCTCTCTGTTTTCCTAGAAAGTTAACTTTTAAAAATTTGATCTAATAAGATTGGTCTTCTTATAAGTGGTTTCAGATTGTTTGCTTCTAACAAATATCCAGGAATTCATATTTAACTGATTAGTGTCCATTGAGAACAATTCTATCTATTCCTTCTCCCCTTAAAACATGTATAGAATGTACAGATGCTTTCTACTTTGGAATTTCTCTTTTCTTTTATGATATCTCAGAAATGAGCGATTAGGTTTTTGTGATGTTTGCTAGGCCTTGTAGCAAATGCATGTGTTTTTAAAAATGCATGCCTCAGGCTTTGAAACTTGTATATAACAATTTGAAAAATAATCTCTAGCTTTCTAGTCTAATTTCATTTTTCTATTAAGCTGGAATTTCGAGACATTAAATGTAGCCTCCTTAATTGCTTTTCTCCTTTTAGTTATTTCTATGATATCCCCCATCACTATTGGATCTTTGTATGTAACTCCTTTGCTAAGTTGAAATGCATATTCAAGGGCAGGTATACTAGAAATGTCATAATTAGGTACAAAGGGACTTTGTACTCTTTAGTAAGTAAAAAGTCACTGGGAAGTAAGAATTGAGTCAATATAGACTATTCAACATAGAATTCTCCTCTGGAATTTGGTATGTGTATAGAGTATTAGTGGTCAGACTGTTGTAAACTTTACAAGAGTTGGGGGATGGGAATAGGGGAGAAGAGAGGTAAAAACAAGAAATCACTAAGTTGAAAACAGATTTTTTATTCTTATGATTCATTACCTGCCATCACTGCTTCCTTTTTTCAACAAAAATGATGGGGTAGAAATTGATGAGACACATTGTTGTAGTTATGTGGGATAAGTAAATCCAGAGAACATGATGACTAAAGTTAGTAATATTGTATATAATATTGGAAATTTGCAAGAGAATAGATTTTAGGTGCTCTTATCACAGAGAAGAAAATGGTAACTATGTAAGGAAATAAAATGTTGATCAGCTTGACTAGAGTAGTCATTTTACTATAATAGGTATACAGTATCTGCCAGGTGTTTACATGTTACAACTATATAAATAGTTGTAAATACAATGTAAATACAATGTAAATGCAGTGTAAATAGTTGCCTGTGTAGGCCCAATTCAAGCTTTGCTTTTTGGAACTTTATGTAATATTTTTTTAGGAACATTTTCTGTGTTTAGTTGAATTCACAGATGTGGAACTTGAGGATATGGAGGGCTGATTATATTATATCATCATGTTGTGCATATTAAATATATACAATTTTTACTAAGGAAAAAAAACAAGAGGTCTGCACCTGTAGGAAAAGAAAAGACATGTATAAGATGTTTCTGAGAATGCTACTTATGGGTGAAGTTAAGAACAGTGTTATCTTAGTGAATGGATGTGATCACCATGCTATAGTGCATGTAAGACAGTGTTTAAAGACCTGTATGCTTCTGAGAATGCTACTCTCGGAGAAGTTGAGAACAGTGTTATACTGAATGGATGTGATTAACACACTGTAATGCCTTTAAAACATTGGTTAAAAACACATGTATCCAAGATAATATTGTGGCTTCTACTTGTATGAGAAGTTGAGAACACTAGTTTTTCAGTGAATGGTTCTGATCACCACAGTATAATGCAAATAAAACAATATTTAAATACAAAAAGAAATTGATAATATATGTATATATAAAATTATTGAAGCCTTAATAAGCAGAAGCTGATATAGGGTGTATATTAAGACAAAGCTACTGGTCACATCACTTCTATTAGCAGATGGGAGAATAGCATGGAAGCCAGAGAATGATGGAAAGATTGGACCAATATAGAATGACAGTACTACCAGCTAATAGGGTAGTTGTTTCATTCTGGTATCCTTTCCACTTTTGGGGCGTGGATGGAGAATACAAATGCATCTATCTGTCCTTAAATGTAGCAGCTGATGTAAGATGTCTTACAGTAGATTTAAATAAATCAGAATCTATTATGCCATTTTTAAAAGTCCTTGAAATTTTCCTAGGAGTAAAACACTATTTTTGAGGTATAATTCACATACCATAAAATTCACCCTTTTGAAGCATATGGGGTTGGTTTTGTTCATTTTTTTTAGCATATCCATGGAGTTGGGTGGGCTTCCCAGGTCTGCCTACAATGCAATCTGTCTGCAATGCAGGAGACCCTGGTTCAATTCCTGGGTCAGGAAGATCCCCTGGAGATGGAATAGGCTACCCACTCCAGTATTCTTGGGTCTCCTTCGTGGCTCGGAAGGAATCTGCCTGCAATGTGGGAGACCTGGGTTTGATCCCTGGGTTGAGAAGATCCCCTGGAGAAGGGAATGGTTACTCATTCCCGTATTCTGGCCTGGAGAATTCCATGGACTGTATAGTCCATGGGGTCGCAAAGAGTCAGACACGACTAAGTGACTAAGCACAGCACATAGAGTGGGCAATCATCACTACTATCTAATTTAGTCCAAACATTTTCATCCTTCCAAGAAGAGATCCTGTATTCATCCTCCATTGTTAGATAGAAATATTAGAGCCAGTCTAGGGGTCCCCAAGGAGAGAGGTCTGGAATATTCAAGGAGGAAGAAAGGACAAACTTTTTATTTTTTGTCCTCTACTTTCTTTAGGATTATATAACAATAATGTATCCTGCCTGAGGACAGTCTTTGGATTAAACCTTCTGGCTAATTCTGTTATTTTAAAACATAAATTATGGGAGTGGGTCTGGTCTTTACAAGGATGTATCCTGCCTGAGGACAGTTTTTGGATTAAACCTTCTGGCCAACTCTGTTATCTTAAAATGTAAATTATGGGAGTAGGTCTGCTGAGGTCTTTACAACCTCCAGACATTCTTTGGATTCATTGGAGAGTATATAACTCCATTGCTAACACTAGCAAAGGGGGTACTCTTTTGCCCCCTTCTGATGCCTATGTCAGAAGCTTTCTCTATCTCCTTTATACTTTAATAAAACTTTAGTGCACACACATAAAAAAGAAATATTAGAGCCAAAGAATTTGCTTTATAGTTTATATTAGAAGTTAAAAGTACATTTTTGTTTCAAGCTATGCTTTGTAATGATGATAAGAGTTATTGCTGCTGCTGCTGCTGCTGCTGCTGCTGCTGCTGCTGCTGCTGCTAAGTCGCTTCAGTCGTGTCCGACTCTGTGCAACCCCATAGATGGCAGCCCACCAGGCTGGGATTTTCCAGGCAAGAAAGCTGGAGTGGGTTGCCATTTCCTTCTCCAGTGCATGAAAGTGAAAAGTGAAAGTGAAATCGGTCAGTCAAGTCTGACTCTTTGCGACCCCATGGACTGCAGCTTACCAGGCTCCTCCACCCATAGGATTTTCCAGGCAAGAGTACTGGAGTGGGTTGCCATTGCCTTCACCGTAAGAGTTATTGAATATTACTTTATTGCCTTCAATGTGAAGTGAAAGTTTTAGGAACAAGAGTTAATTACAGTAAAGGGACTATCAAGACCCTAAAATGTAGTTTAATTTGGGCTTTGTCTACTTTCTAGGGAGTGCTGTAAACACGCGGATATTCAAGTGTATAATTCCAGTAACTCTAATATCAGAAGATTCTGTGGTTAAGGCGGTCTCCTGGCTTTGTGCTGGCAAGTGTTCTGGTAGCACCAAGGTAATTTTTTTAAACACTTTGATGAAAAGTCCTTCAGAGCCACTTAAGGGCTGGCAAGGAAGAGCCACTTATGAAGTAATGTCAGTGGCCTTTTGTGCAAAGCTTGTAGTTTTGGAACAATATAACTTGATGCAAGAACTCTGTTCAAATAGAAATTTTTACTGAGAAATAAAGTCTATTATCCTTTGTGCTAGAGGCTTCTAAAACAGTCCTGAGGAGGGAATTAAGCTCTTTTGTGCCAGTTATATTTCTCTAAAGATAAGCATTTTGTTTCTCAATAGGTGCTTTTTTATCGTTGGCTGGTTGCAATGTTTGACTTCATTGATCACAAGGAGCAAATTAACTTGCTCTATGGCTTCTTTTTTGCTTCATTGCAAGATGATGCACTGGTAAGTAAAAATTGAATAGCATTATGCATTGATCAGTGGTACGTGCTTGTATATCGACGCACCATATATGCTTCAAAGTACCAAACAACTTTCCTTACTTATTTTAAAATGTATGAAACAGAAAAGTGTAATGAGTAGCATAACAAATACTTTTTTACCTGTCTCTCAGATTAACAAATGAAAATTTCCCCACATTTGCTTTTTATCTTCTTTTAAGGAAATAATTGTTACAGGTAGAATTGAGTTCACATTGGAGTCTCTTTGCTGATCTAGAGCAATGATTGCCATCTTTTCCCTTTTAAACCACTTCAACAGGGTCCTTTGGGTCACTTATTCTACAGTTTCTTGATTAACACTGTGAAAACCTCATCAGAATTAATGAGAAGAAGAGGGTTACTTTTCATGAGATGCCAGTGGACTATTTTTGATTAAATAGCATAATTAGTCCCATTGAAAGCATTAATAACTCTAAGAAATCAATCTACTGTCCACCTGGAAGTCTTTCAAGGACCATCAGTAGTTCACAGACCATGTGAACCATTCATTTAACAGAACTTCTCTTGCTTTGGGGAGGGGAGGGAATTCATTTATTGATTTCATTTTCAAAAATTGACTATGTTTGTTGCATTATATGAGACAGTGTAGAAGATTCAAAGATTAGCTGAGAGTTTCTATATTCCAGGGGTTTGTAATCTATTTGGGAGACTAAGGAAAGCATGTAAAGTTAAATGACAACATATAAGTTCTATTATCAAAGACAGTGTGTGTTAATGTGAGGATAATAATTGCTGTGATATTCCCAGGAAGAAAAGAACACTGTAAACCAGAGTGATTAGAAAAAGCATCATAAAGTATGTGGGCACTGAACTGGGCCATGAAGGTGGAGTAGGATTTGAGATTTAATGTTTGATATGACAGGAATATTTCAAGCAAAGTTGTGAGCTGTGTAAATTGTGTTTAGGAAACCTTAAATAGATCAGACTGACTTAATTACAATTGATGTCAGGCAGTGGTGGGTGGTAAGGCTGAAAAAATTGGGTGTGGAAAAATTGTAGAGGTCTTTAAATATGATGGTAAGGAATTTGAACTTTATCCAGTGGGGAAGTCACTGAAAACTTTGGGACAGAACATGTTGAAAGCAACATTGTAGGAAGTTGTATCTAATAATGCCAAACATTATGAATTAGGATGGAAGCTAGAATCAGGAAGACTAGTTAGGAGACTGACATGTTGATGATATCCTAAACTAGAAATTCTCAAATATGCTCTGTGGATCCTTTGATGCTTCCTGAGAAACTTTCAGGAGGTCTCAGAGGTTAAAATTATCTTTATAGCAATATCAAGATGTTAGTAGCTATTTTCACTGTGTTGACATTTGCACTGATGATGGATAAAACTGCTGACCCACTCAGGGCAGTGAGTCCGCACTGTAGTAAGATTTGTTGTGTTCTTTACTGTAGTAAAAAACAAAAATGCTAGTTTTACTTAATAATGTCCCAAATGAAGCAATAAAAATTAATTCATTAATTATATTAAACTTCAACCTGTGAGACATATCTTTAATATTCTGTCTGATGAAATGGGAAGTATAAATAAATCCCTTCTGCATATTAAAGCGCAACAGTTGTCGTGAGGAAAGAAACTTTGTGTGATTGAATTGTGAGCCAAACTAGCTACTTTTTTCCATGGAATACCATTTTTACTTCAAAGAATGACTGACATATAAACTATGTTTATTCAGACTTGGTATTTGGCTGATGTTTTCTTAAAAATGAACAAAGTGAGCTGGTCATTTCATAGAAAACAACTGGCACTATTTGTTGCAAGTGGTAAAATTTGAGCTTTAAAGCAAAAATGACAAGTTTGAAAAATTTGTATTTGTCATTGTGAACTTGACAGCTTCCCAATACTTAAACGACTTTGCTGATGAGAATGAGAATATTAATGATTTTTAGTATTATACAATGATTGCAATTATATTATATTAATAATTATATAATGAAATATGTCAACATTTGGGAGATCAGTATAACTAATTTCCAAATGATCTCATTTGAAATTATGTATGGGTAAAAGCCATCCAAAATGCAAGATATATCAATGAATTTTAATAGAATAGAGTACAAAGAGTTCATTGATAAGATTTCAGAATCCACATTGCAGCTATTTCCTAAGAGACTACTGCTTATTAGTTTTGGTGAAGTATCAAAGACTAATATCCACAATTTTTTAGTATATGTGCTGCCGAAGCGAGCACAAATATCCACAATTTTTTGAAAAAGCTATTAAAATATTCTTTCTTTCCCAATTACATATGTGTGTGAGGCTAACTTTTCTTCATGTACTTCAATCATAAGAATATATTGTTACATTTAGTGCATAAGCAGAGTATCTATCTGTAGTCTGTTAAGTCAGAAACGTTAAAGAGATTGTAGAAATGTAAAACTATGTCACGCTAAGTCTTTTTTTGGGAAAATATAGTTATTTTTCATAAAATATTTCATTTATGGTTAGAATGTAATGAGTTTATTTTTTAAATGAGTTACTAAACATTAAAAAATTTCCTAGTTTTAATTTCTAATATGGTGAATATCAACAGCTATAAACCAGATAAACAAAACCTTTTGGGGATCTTCTAATTTTTAAGAATGTAAAGAGTCTTGAGACCAAAAAGTCTGAGAATCACTATCAGAGACTAAGGGGTATGAAAAATTGAAGGGACAAATCTTAAAGGAGACTGTAAAGGAAGAATTGACATAATCTAGTACCTAAACTGGATTAAGGGAAAGGTCAAGAAATAAAGATAGAGTTTGTAAGTCAGCATGATGCAGAATGATGGTACCTTTGACCATAAAAGGAAATTTGCGGAAAAGGAGGTAGTTTTAAAAGGAACATAATATGTTTGGCTTTAGATGTACAAAGTTTGAGGTTACATCCTGTAGAAATTCACTCAGTGAACATTTATTAACTAATGTGAGATTCATTGAGCTAGTATTGGAGATACAAATATGAGTTAAGAATAAGTTAACTATTGGTCTTCCCATATGGTGCTAGTGGTAAGGAACCCTCCTGCCAATGCAGGAGACATAAGATACCCGGGTTCAGTGCCTGGGTTGGGAAGATCCCCTGGAGGAGGGCATGGCCACCCACTCCAGTATTCTTGCCTGGAGAATCCCATGGACAGAAGAGCCTGGTAGACCGTGGTCCATAGATTGCAAAGAGTTGGACGCAACCAAATCAACTTAGCACATAAGTTAAGTCTAAGCCTCATATAGTTAACTTATATGAGCCTTATATACCATGCACCAAGTGCTTTTACACAGTATTTCACCAACTCTAAGATGCCATCAGTTTTGAGATGCATCATTATCTTTCAAACCATTACAGTGAAATGTTGCCATTAAAATTGTCACCTGATACTGATTTTAGGATTAGTTTTGTTTTCAGAGATGTTAAAATGTAGAAAATGAAATGTCAGACTATGTATTTTTTCCTAGTTCTGAGGGTCTGAAAGTTCTTTTTATTGTTAACCTCATTTCAAAATAAACATTTATTTAGCACCTACTATTTTCTATACTTGTGCTCTCCAGTGTGGTATCCACTAACCTCATGCGACTAAATGAGCACTGGGAATGTGGCTAGACCAAACTGAAATGTGCTGTAAATGTAAAACACACACCAGATAAGAAATGGTTTTAACTTATTTAAACCTCTTTACATCCTTGTGACATATACACTTTTATCCCCATTTTAGAGAGGAGGAGTATGAGGCACAGAGAAGTCAAATAATTATCCAGGGTCATGTGACTAGAGGCAGGATTTATGGGAAATGCTATTCCCATTTTAGAGATGAGACAACTGAGGCTTGGAAAAGTTATGTAACTTTGCTAAGGTAACTTACCTAGTAAGAGGCTGAGCCTTGAAGATCTTTAAATGTAGTAGGAGAGAGAAGTACAGTGTGATAAATCCTGTGATAATATCCACAGAGTTCCATGGGAATATAGAGGAGCGGTATCAGAATAAGACTAGGGATCAGGGTTAATGGAGAAGGAAATGGCAACCCACTCCAGTATCCTTCCCTGGAGAATTCTATGGACAGAAGAGCCTGTCCTCTGTAGCCTGTGGGCTACAATCCATAGGGGTTGCAAAAAGTCGGACACGACTGAGTGACTGTCACTTTCACTTTCAGGGTTAAAGTTACAGGGATTTCTTTTCAATAGGAAGAGAGATATGGGTGTTGATGTCCATAAATTTATGAGTTAGTAAGGGATGTGACTGAGGGATTTCCTGCCCAGTGGTTTTAGTGATTTTTTTTTTCCTCAAATTTTCACTCAAGTAGGAGGCAAGGTCTTCTGCTGAAAATGAGGAGGAAAAGATAGAATGTTATGTTTGAGAGTATACATTTTGAAATAGCTCTTGGTGGAAATAGAAATAGATTAAGAGACACAGTTCTGAAGGCCCAGATAAGTTTAGGGAGCATGAATTTGTGATGTTACTAATGTCAAGGGTCATAATTCCTCCAGGGTGGGACACGAAGGCAAGAGAGTGACTGAGTGATCAGGAAGTCTAGAGAGAAAAGGGAGAAGGTGAAGTCAAAAGAGAGCAGATTGGGAGCACAAACAGCTGAGTTTCAGGTTGCCTTGGTGACATTAAAGACATGTACTAGGATTGAAAATTGGAATGATAGAAATTGTGGCATTAGAGTTTAAGATTGCAGGGGGGGACTGGTTCAGTGTGATGACAGGATTTAGAGTGACAGTGCAATGAGTTGTTGAAGACTAGAGTAAGGGAATGAAGGTTACTGGAATTGAAATTTTCCGTATCCTGTGGATTTGTTGTTGCCATTGCTGCTCATCTGTCAATTACCAAGTGAAGTATGTTGAAAATCTCCCACTCAGAAGGCAGACTTGTCAGTTTTTCATTAAAAAGTTCTGTCAAATTTTGCTTTATATATTTTGAGTCTATTACTAGGTAAAGGCACAATTATAGTTTTCATATTG